ATAGCTTGTCCCACAGGATCCCAGTAGTTGTCAGTAATCAAGGAAATCACTCTCAAAGAGCTACAAATAGGTCACTTATCTGATGTCTGCTTTGATCTGACGCAGACAGCCAGTTAAGTCCCTTGCATCTGCCTCCCTCTGCTATTTTTAGCGTGATTATTAGCTGTTGTAGCTGCCAGGAGGTACTGAAGTAAGAGGGGGAATGAAACATGGATACATGGACAGGGAGAGGGGGGATTGCAATCCCAGCTTTCATCATTAGCATTCAATTCAAATGGCTCAATTGAGAAGTTGTCACTCATGGGATTCCCAGGACTCCAAGTAGCCGTGCTTCTTCATTTATTCAATTTATTGATATAAAGACTTTCATTAAGAGACACCCGGCAAATGTGACATGTGGTCTCAGGTGGCCTTAATGTGGAATTCTAAGCAGCCGAGGAAGCAGAGGCCGCATGACGTGTAAAAGCTCCTTTGTCTCGTCTCGGGGCGATTTCTCCCAGTGTGCCAGATCCACACGCTCAGCTTTGAAGTTCCAGTGAAGAGACGGATCGCACACAAACTCACACACACACACTTTCACACACTCACAACTACTGCACACATCCGGATGCAGAAGCACAGAGCCGTGGCAGGTGAACATTCCACGTGTTTCCAGCATTACAGTGGAGTTAATTATTGAGCTGGCTGGTCCTTTTGATCCTCGCTCTGCTGAGCTCACAGAGCAGCTCTCACCTGTCAGACACACAAACATGGCTGCACGCTGCCTTTTATGCACCCATGAAATACCAACATGCAAAGATAATGCTGAGGAGTGGATCTTTTTTAAATAATTGATTTTTCTTTCTCGTATGTTCCTGCAACTAGAGCAGATGGGATTTCCAACATAAATTATTGTTTTGCAGCGGGGTCAAAATAACTCAAGAACTATTACTTTTGAGTAAAAGTAGAAATACCAAGTTGTAGAATTACTGCATTTAAAATTGAGTACAAACTAGAAAATGATTTACATACAAATATACTTAAAGTACCAAAAGTAAAAGTACTCATTATGCAGATTGGCCCATTGAGGAATAGTATATATTATTATTATTATTATTATTATTATTATTATAATATTATTTTAATTACCTTATATGCTCCAGGGTAGCTTGTAAATCGAAACATTTAATAAAAGTGATATTTAAGTGTTGATTATATTTATTTATCCAAATCTGCAAATGAACTAAAGGTATTACAAAAATGAAGTAAAAGTACACTATATACCTCAATTATAGTTTGGTAGAAGTAGCAAAAAGTTGAAATACTCAAGTAAAGTACACATCCCTCAAATTGTACCTCAGTACAGTATTTCAATCTAATGAATTACTTTACACTACTGCCTTTTAAAATGCTGCTGGATATATTAACCTTTTATATGTCAATGTTTATTAATTAGCTGATTTATATTTTTGAATTAGCTAATTATCTTAATTTATTAAATAACTAAAACTCTCAAATTGATGTAGAGGAGTAAAAAGTACAACATTGGATTCTAAAATGTGGTGGCAGCAAGAAAATACTGAGGTAAAGTCGCCCAAAATGGTACTTAAGGTAATGTAATCCTCCATATTGCACGCTGTTGTTTTGAACGCTGAGGCCTTAACATGTCTTCCTCCTACACAGATCACAAAGAGAATTTATCAGGCATGGTCTCATTATTGAAACGCACAACCTGTCTGTTCTCTACCGCGTTGTTTTGTCTGATGACACTGATGGTAAGGGTGAACGATGAAATTGCTTGATTGGCAGATGGTGGGCGTTGTGAATAATAATGTAATTAGTCATACAGTATCATTGTCACGCTGCAGTGATTGCATGTACAGAGGAGTGCGCTGATTGATAGCAGCACCAACACTGTACATTAAACCTGAACCTGCGAGGTCCATGGATCCCGGGTGAAGTGAGCTCAGGAAATAAAAATTGCGGGTGTGAAGGCTCGCAGCGGAGCGCCACACTGGGGGAGTGGGAGGGAGGCGTTGGAAATTAAGAGAGAGGGTATCATGTTCAAACAGAGAGATGTTTTATGCAGAAGCCGGCGCCTCCGTCACCGCTGAACGGATGAAGTAATTTCATTTTCATGCATGATGTGCAACCCCACAGACCAGGCAAATTGCATAGGAGGGGGAAAGAAAGATAGGGGGAGGGAAAATAGACCCTTTTTTCTCCATTTGACTCTGTGATCATTCCCTCTAACTTGTAACCATAGTGATGGTTCATTCGCATTGAAAAAAAGAGACAGAATCTGATGTCGACTTCACTGGAAAGATGAGATAAGGATAAAGGACGTAAAAATGGATCAAATTCAGAAATAAAAACTCTCACTTCAGAGTTGAACTGCTCACAACCCGTAGACACGCGACCTGTGGAGCAGACAATGGCTGACTGTGAAGGTCACAAGAAGGTTGTAAAGGGAAGTTTATTTATATTCATACAGTTCATGCTTGTTGGAATTTCAAAGTGCTTTACAAACGAGCAGATAAAGGGATCATAATAATATAATACAAGTAAAATAACTCAAATATTAAAAAGAACGTATTTTATCACCTAAAATAACGTACGATCTGCTAACTAAAAGCATCTGAGGACAGTTGGGGTTTTTCTATCTTTAAAGCTCGCTACGGTTGGAGCCCCGTGGTACAATCAGTATGTTGGTCCATTACAATTAGGAACAAAATAAATGTATTCTTCACTCCTATATGTTTCAATGTACTCGTCCTGTGATGTTTGTATCTTCTATGAGAATGTTACAGAAGGCTACTGGAGATGCATAAGCCATAATAATAATAACCGCTCTCTTATGTCTCTGGTTAGCTACATTGCTATTTTTACCAAAGAAGCAAACGTTACATTCTAGCTACGAAGAGGGCACTAATTGTGTCAGAGCGAAGACCTCCCTTTCAAGCATCATTTACTTTTGATTTATTATATTATTTAAAATGTTATCATACATTTTGAGTGGCCTATAATCATTATATTTAGCTGTTGCTAAAGCTAGCATTCTGTTCCCTATTTTGAATTGAAGGGCTTTCAGGGTCCTTGGCTTCCTATCGGGAGAATTTCCCGTATTTGGCTAATCGTGTAATAGCTCAATTGTTATCCTAAAATAAGACAGGTTTGTTTCCTAAACGCAATCAAACAACATGTTTCTGTTATTCCAAAAATCAGATACCAAGAACCATTGGACCACCGGATAGCTCAGTGGTCAGAGCTGGTGGCCCTCATGCTGTGTCGCTGCCAAACACGTGGGGTCGACCCCTGAACCCGCAAAAAACATGAAATAATATTCTCTCTCTTGTTGAAAAAAATCCTAAATGTCAGCTCAGAGCTGCTGCTCCGCGTTTGGCTCTGACAGCAGGTAGTACACACAGATTTCCCTCATAGATCCGACACGTGTGTTCTGCTGCAACATATCTGAGATGCATTTTGCTCCTGCCCCGTTTTGTGATTTACAAACAAGCAACAGTGCTTTAAAGTCACTTCTGTGATTTACTGGAAGCCATTGTAGGGATTAAAGGTATACTTTACAATGATCAACCGGCTCTGTTACACCACAGATTCTTTGATGGTCTTTTTTAAAGAAGGCCTGTAAAAGACCATTGCAGTGTTTGAAAGCATAAAAGGAGCTTTTTAAAAAACAAACATGTTTTGACATTAAAGCTCTGTGTTTGGCATTGTGTTTGAGATGTGGAAAATGTGATTTAGTTTTAGCTTTGACATGTTTTTTTATATCAATATTGTCCTCTGCTTATAGCCATTTTGTGGCAGGAATAAAAGCAATCTTAACTCTCAACTCGCTATATGTCATTTTGATATTCTACCATAACGTTGACAGCGTAACATATAGTTACTAATGACCAAATTCATAATTGGCTGTGTGCGGTAATTAATAAATATTTGTGTTGTTCGTGATGATTGAGAAATAACCTCATTGAAAGGATTCAGACTAGAATGTATTGATAATTTCACTTTAGGATCGTAAGGGGCATTTTTATACAAACACCATTTCTGAAATTATTCTTTGTACTTAGATGAATGTCGAAAGCTATGCTCGTAATTAAGGCAACATAAAATAACACAACACAATGGCAGATGATTAGAAAGTTAAAGAAATAGATACAGAAAATAACAAAAGTTCAGTTAAGAAAATGATATTGTGTTTGTTTAATCTTAACACCTAAATAAATGTATTAATAATACCTGTTTGGAGGTGAACGGCTTTGTATTAGTAATTGTAACACTTTCAAACCCACCAATGTAATTAACGTCTTGTTGTGCATTGTGTGCTGAGACAGTACCCTTGGAGCCCACTGAAAATCAATGCCACAGAAAGAAATGCTTCAATCCCATCTCCCTTCGTCTTCTTTTAAGTCAGCTCGAGCAAAAGTATTGATATTTCTTTATTGCTGTGGCAGCGGAGGCGCTCACACTGGAACTTGTTTCAAGTAAAACATATCACTCTTTAAATGTCACATTCTGAATTGTATGAGAAATAACAGCTGGGGTGTTAAAGGTGAAACCTGCACATTGAGATATTAAGCACTAGTCAGACGTGTTTGAGAATAGCGGCACGAATCATTTTCACATCATCCCGACAGGTAGACGTCAGAAACACCATCACAGCTGGCGGTAGGGTCATTTTAACAATGTTCAATGTCAGCTGAGAATGTAGAGAAAACCACACATTCAGACAACAGCGCCTGACAGTGGCTCTATTTCCCTCGCTGCACCTTGTTCAATTTCTACCTTCAGGCTGTGGGTTCAAAGCGTCAGCACAAAAGAAACATGGCAGTAGTCCTCCCACTCTTCTCTCTTCTTTTATTCCAGAATGCATTTTTTCTTTCTGACAATCTCTGTCTGTGATCATTTCGTGCTTTCTGTTGCAAGTTCAGAAAACTCCTAAAAAGCCTTGAAAGACTGATTCTCCTCTGTGTTAAAACTTGTTTCTCTGCTTTGCTTCTCAGATCCGCTCAGATCAGGACAAAGCTTCCGGCATCCGATACAGCATCACGGGAGCAGGCGCTGATCAGCCCCCCAGTGGGATCTACAACATAGACCCCATCAGCGGCAACATGTTCGTCACCCAACCCCTGGACCGAGAGGAGAGAGCCTCCTTCCATGTAAGGAAGAACCGAGCACGTCTCGTCTGTTTCTCTTTCCACTCTAGCTCCATTAACGTCCATCTCATTATCATCTCCTCATTACCCCTGTGGAAATGTGCCGCCTCGCCTTTTCTCTTCCCCTGTCTTACCTTTTATTCTAACGCTAATGTTGCCTGCTGAAAATAGACCCTGTCAGAGCGCATTCAGAGAGCAGTGCCCTACCTTCACACAGGCACCTCCAGGCTCTGATTGATGCCCGAGCCAGCACTGAATGCCTTGACAAAACACACAGCCACTTCAGCTGGCATTTATATTGAGGTTTAACTGTGCAGGGAGCGCAGGATGGATAGAACAGAGGGAAGAAGAGACAGATCCAAGGTGGAGTTCAGGAAAACTGTTGTCTTTGTTCTCACCATCAGAGCTAATGAGCAGCTGCAGCTTCAAGTGTGAGCGAACATGTGCTGAATGCTGATTGATACATGATGTGTTTATACTTTAGGGATGAATAGGGCAAATATTTCAACTCCAAGATAGCACCATGAAACTTTCCCAGTTGATTACTTTAACACAAAAGCAATAACAGTTAGTATTACTTTGATGCATGTTTAAATATGCATATGAGGCAGTCTATATATTTATATATATATATACAGGACTGTCTCAGAAAATTAGAATATTGTGATAAAGTTCTTTATTTTCTGTAATGCAATTAAAAAAACAAAAATGTCATACATTCTGGATTCATTACAAATCAACTGAAATATTGCAAGCCTTTTATTATTTTAATATTGCTGATTATGGCATACAGCTTAAGAAAACTCAAATATCCTATCTCTAAATATTAGAATATCATGAAAAAGTATACTAGTAGGTGAGTTTTCTTAAGCTGTATGCCATAATCAGCAATATTAAAATAATAAAANGTGTGCCTTGGCAGTCTCAGATTGGTTAGCTGGCCGGCTCTGTTGTGATCCATCAACCGCTTAGAGATGTCCCGCCCCTTAGCCTAACACTTAGAACAACGTAGAGCTGAAGTAACCCTTACCTGGTTTGGACCCTTCAGCCACGGAGCCGTTGTACACCTGGTTCTGAAACTCTGGTCTGTTGTCGTTCATGTCGATGACGTAGATGTACAGATCGATTGGGTTCTCCACCTGGTTACCGTTCATGTCCACTGCATGGGCTCGCAGCTGTCAATCAATGCACACAAAGACATCTCATTAGTATTCAACACTGAATATGAGCTTGTGTAAATATTCCAAGTGTAGCTCAACTGACAACAAGCTTCTGGTTTGATTGATGTGAAATTCTGCTGTCTGTCTGGACTGAAGCCAACTCAGTCAGTACACAACTCTGACTTTATTCATTGGCAACTTCATTTAACTGGCAAATGGTGCGTTTCTTGTTTGCCAACGGGACACGAGTATCCTGTTGGTATTTTGGCACTGACCACAACAACACAGAGAGGGGCAAAATAGTGAAATGTTCCAGACGCTCCAACAACACCTATTTTGTTGTTAGCACAGCCAGAGTCCTGAAAAAAATATCAGAGAGGTGTTTGAGCTCAAGCTGTGACTTCTTTTTGTGCTGAGGGAATGTTTGCCTCCGGTTTGTTTTGACAAAGCCAGCCATTTGGATGGATGTCCCTGACTGATGATCTGTTCCTTGACAATTCACAGTGCGAGAGAATAGACGAGCAAAGAGGGAGAGAATGGAGGAAATAAGAGCGGCGCAGGGAAAAAGGCGAATGAGATGGGAAGGACAGGAGGAGAGTGACTGAGCCTTGTGCAAGTAAATGAGAGATGAAAGCACAAAGAGGAAGTGTGGGGGCTTGAACAGGGAGGACTGACAAAAGCAATCATCATCTACAGTGGGACATCTTAATCTCCAGCGCTGCCGTTACACACCCTCCACTCCCCACCAATTTCCACTAATGATACCGAACATAACGCAAAGCTTTGTAATAGCCCTGGAACCAAACTGGGCCCTGTTCACTGCAACTTACATTACCTTTTTCAATTGCAAAAAAATCTATATCCCCTGCCGAAAATGTTATTCAATCATAGCATGGCTTGTTTAGGGGAGTAAGGCTCCAATTCTGGCTAAAATTGACAAACTGGCAGCAAAATATTTCGTATGCCACAGCACACCAGCAGAGGAGGATCTGCCTGCCAGCCTATTTGCAAGAAGTCGTGATGTATTGTGGGCTGACATGAAGGATTGAATGGCGGCACCTGCCTTCCCCGAAACACAACTAATCATGTCGGCTTTTGTGACTGCCTGTCAAGGATGTTTCAAAACATACCCCAACACGGCCCGCTGGAGCATTCACACACACATCCAAACACCTATTCAGACACATGTTTACGCATATTAACACAGACTTTGACAAAGCATGAGGATACGCGCCGGGTGGAGATGCACACAGCCAATCAAAAAGGCCCTCTTTAGCCACTTAATGATCCTCAAGATGCTAGTTTTCCATTGGCTGGAGCACAACAAACAAACATGGAGAGGAGAAGCAACAAACAAACAAGCCCAATCTGTTTCCTCAGCTGCGAACACTGCACAGTGAGGGGTCTGCGATTGTGAAATGTGGGACTGCCTCAGTGTGTGTGTGACTATGTAATAATGATTGTGTGTTTTGTCTTTTCTGCCCGTGGACTTGTGTGTCCCTACTTGCTTTCTCGAATTTCTACATGTGTACATATCTGTATATTTGCGTGAGTGTGTGTCTTCCTGTGAGTGTGTGCACTGGAGTCTGTGTATGTATATCTGTGTGCTCGATGGAGGAAATGGAAATGTGATCTAAGGGCCTGGAGGAGTGTGTGCGTCTCGCAGACTGCATTATGTGTGTGTGTGAGCCGACATCAGTATTCTGCAGGGTGAGCTTTAGTGTGACTGGACCGACCACAGAGGAGAAATACAGTTTGTATTCGGCCCATTGGTCCCCTTACCCAATATATAACCACATATGGTACTTCCAGAAGTCCTGGAGGATTTTATACAGTTTTATTTCTGCTCAAATATAGTAGCTATTGGTGCTTATGCCAACGTATACGTACTTATGTGTAACGATACACCCATTAAAGGGGTACCACAAAGGACACTATAACGATTTGTTTGTCTATATTTTATTAAGATGGCAGTGAGGCTCTCTAGAGGCAATGTCTATCAGTTGCATAGCCCACATCTAATGGGTTGTTCAAACATTTAGACTGATTCTAAGAACATTTAAGATCATAAAGTACATCCTTATGAATATCATGATATTTTTTTGCTTCCTTCAACACCAGTAGGTAAAGTTGATTCCCCTGACACTTTACATTTGAATCTCAATTTGTCCAATGTTTTGATTTTATGAGCACATATCTGAAAGACTAATGACATTACCATCACCCTCAGCTGTGCTTCATTTTGAATGGTAATAAACAAATGTTGTTGTGCTTACAGGCTGACATAAGTATAACATGGTGAACAATATATCTGCTAAATATCAGCATGTTAGAAGTGAAGTTCAAATGAAGCTATAATCTTGATTTATAAGTAAATTAAATAATCCATATCTTGATTTTACCAATCATTTTTTTATGTAACCAATTGCCTCTGCCAAGGAGGTCTGCGCTATAATGCCTCAATAGTTTTAAATGTAATGATGTCCATTATGTCAAATTAAGTCAATATAACTTATTAAGCGCATAAACTACCCACAAAAACGAAAACATAGAACAATCTGGATGAAAAATGAAATATATTTTAAGAAATAGTTATCCAGGAAGATTGGGAACAACTTCCACCAAACTGATAGGGATCATCTGTGTAAGATAGATATAAACACCCTCACTAGAAAATAAAGAATATGCATTCACACAAACAAGCAAACAACAAATCACAGACTCCTCATCTTTGCTCAATTCTCCTCTTGCCCGGCTGACTCACGGCAGATCCGTCTGACAAAACAGAGGCTCAGGCGAACGCCCACTCCCCTAACCTCGCAGAGCGCCTCCCCATGGTGCTAGTCTGTCAAAAACAGCAGCCTCGTCTCTCTTTTCACTTGAACCCACAACTAACAAGCAAAGTTTGGCCTGTGAGAGAGCAGTAGTGAGAACTTCCTGTTAAGTTGAAAGAAAGTAAGCAATGGACTAAATTTCCCCTGAGTCAAACTCTGGCTGCATTCTCCAACAGCAAATCATACATCCCATCACAAGCAGCACGGGCCCACGGAGTCTGAATAGAAGCCACATTCAACTTGAAGTGCCCTCAACCTAACATGCTGTTTTAACTACAGGCAGTGTCAAAAAAAGAACTGTTTATGGAGAGGCTGTCCTTTCCCAGGGACCAATATCTGAGCTGCTTTATTGATCCCAATTTGGTGGTTGAGAGTTAGAGCGGGACTAGGAGAACACAAACATGCAGCAGCGACCAAAGCCTGTAAGGTAACGAGAAGGGCAACAAGAGGCTCATCTGAAACTAACTGGAACACAGACACACACAAGTACGGGACAAACCAATCAAGAAGCCAATCATCTGAGGCTTTGTGTTTGTTTATAGTCGTCGCACGTCCCTCACGTGTGCATTGGTGTTTATAATGTTTGCATAGTGCTCAGAGAGTGCGCTGACAGAGATCCACTCTCCTTTATTCTATTCTTCCTCCGAGACAGCAGCGTGCTTTTGAATTAGCTCTATCAGCAGCGCAGCCATCTATCATGCTGACAGGCACGCAGTGCTGTGAGTCTGACACCAGCGCTCACCTCGAGTGGAGGTGTTAGTCTTTGCTGATATTAACTGAAACCCGTAATGTGTGTTTATGAACCAATGGCTCCAGCGTTAACAGAAGTCTCATGTGGTCTGAATCTTTAATTCACACGTTCGCAGAGCTGTTTAACCCCAGGTTCCAGAGGGGCTGGTCATGAATTCAAACCCCCAGCCTAATTCCTGTGTGTGTGTCTGTGTGTGTGTGTGTGTGTGTGTGTGTCTGTGTGTGTGTGTCTGTGTGTGTGTGTCTGTGTGTGTGTTTGTGTGGCGGGAAGTCCTACAGGGCATATGCTCTGCTAAGTGTACAGCTGTCAGCCTACACCTTTGAACAGCAAAGCTGCAAAGAGCAAAAGAACGACATGTGAGGGTGGTGAAGTGAAACGGGGGGACAGGAAAGTGGGGAGCACAAACAGAAAGTGAGGAGAACAGAGAGACCCCATCGTCCTGTCCTGAGAGACACTGCAGGGGAAACATGCTGTATTCAGGCAGGTTAT